CGAATGGTGATGCCGTGCCATTTTATTTATATTGTTATGCTTTTATTATCGTGAGATCATGGCATGATGGGTGTTTCCGTGCAGGTGAGGACAAGGGACATGCATTATAATGTGATATTTGTTTCCCATGTATACGTTTGTACCTTTACCTTGAGCTATTATTGTCGTACTTATAGATCTTGTGTGACTTGTTGTTATTGTCCAGTCCTTGATCTCTATCTCAATTGTTGTTGTGATTCCCATGTATTCTACTTGTTTAACATGCAAATACCATGTCTACTTCATGCTGCTATAATCACACCCATGTCGTAACTATTCAGTTACACCTTAGTACAAGCCTTTTTCTATGTTAGTCATTTATGCCTCTACTTGTTAACTTGTAAAGATCATGTGTTTCCTTCTTATTTGTTATACCTGTATTTAAGCCTTCATCATGCTAGATAGTTGAAATTGATATTCCTTGTTTCCAATTGCTGTCATCACTCACATGCTTTCCACCTAGTCTTTTACTATTGCCCATACAGTTATCCTTGTTCATTATTACTACTTGCGTATTTCCAACCTTGTAATTTCCTGTTATCGGTATTTCTATCATCTGGTTGGTTTTGTTATACGTATATTGGGTGAGGATAAGATAAAAGCATGAAGGGTGTTGCCGTACAATTGACTTGATATCTGAGTAGATTCCTCATGCTATGAAAGTTAAGAATTGACTGTTGTGGTTTATTGGTTTCATTCTAAGGAAAGGATTGGTCGAGGTATTTGAAGATGCCAAATTGTGATCTCTGTTAACACTCGATTATTGTTTTGCGTATCTGTTTCATGTATTCTTCTCGATTATATTGTGGTATAGTTCTATTGCTGATTCACAATGCAAGTGTTATCAGTAAGTTTCTTTTAACTAAAAAGCCTCGTCACTACTTCGACGAGGTTAGGCAAGATACTTACCAGTACATGGGGTCGGTCGTACTGATACTATAATTCTACACATTGCGTGCAGATATTTGGAGCAGAGCTGCTGGTGATGTCGGGTGCTGACTCTGAAGATGTTCGTGCATTCTGGATATAGATGCCACTTATCTTTGGCAGCTTAGGTTTTGCTAATCTATTTATGTAACTTTTAAACAGAACGTGTAATTATTTGTATCATTTTTGAAATCTCAAGTCTTAGAAGCTCGTGATTCGTACTACCAGTTCTTGGGGTCAATTTGTAAAAGTTCGGATGATTCTTTACTACTTTCCTATAATCTCTTTTGGATTGTATTTTCTGTTAATTGGATTATCTAGCGGGTCGAGTTAGGTGCCATCACGACTAGTGGTTTTTGGGTCATGACAGAATATCATTTCATCAACAACTATAAATGACTAGGAGAAAACATACCAAGTTACCAACATTGAACATTTGATGATTTATTCCATATATTGATACAACGAATATGCTAAGCCGAACAATTGCAATCTTTACTTTCTCTGGGGGAAAAGGATGAATGAACACATATATATTGTCGAGTGAAATTAGAACAATGACTGTAATAATTTGTTCAATGAAACTATTGCAATTGGTATTCTCCATAATAACAATGTGGAATTATCCTTAAGATTATTGGAAAAATATTTGACTATGGAGAATAAGATTTATCAAAGCTTGTGATGTGTCAAGGACACTATTATTAAGGATATTTCGCCTACATAATAAAGAATAAAATTAGACGTATCCTCCAGGATTGAACAAGCTCTTCTAGTTATTAAACTTGGAATAGAACTAGCAGAAAATTCAATAAAGAAATTCAGCATAGAAGCAGGAGGATAAATAGAAAGAAGTTGGAAAATCTTTGTCATCGTTCATGAGAGTGCCATGTATACGAGGATGAAGAAGTTTGAGAAAAATGTGTCTTTAGTTTTCCAAAAACTATATTTATATAGGTGTTTCTCCAACGGCTAATTAATGGCTAGTTTCCAATGGCTAGTTTCCAACGGCTAGTTTGACCAGTTCAATATGAGAGAAATTAGATAAAAATAAGGGACACTTCTTTTTGAGATACCCACAAATTTTCTAACATGAGTTGACACGACACATTCAAGGGAAGTTACCTTGGTGCATGCTATTTGCAGACGACATAGTATTAATTGACGAGACACGAGGCAGTGCTAATGATGGTAGGCTAGAATCACGTGTTTTAGTCATAGTTTACACTCAAATTATTGTATTTTACCTGTGTTTGAGCTTGAATATTAGTGTATTGCACTTATTGTGTGTTTTATGCCTCACAGGAAATGATTCCGAGCTATTAAGGTAATTTGGATCTAAATCGAACAAGTTGGAGCTTTGAAGTATAAGTAGAAGCCCAAACAATTAAGTCGGGATCACGTTCGGGGATCAAGGGGCAAGTCCGAATGTCAAAGAATGAATACACGAATTTACTCTGAGAAAAAGGCACAGCCGCGCCGCACGGGGCGCGACACGGCAGTGCAAAAGTTGGTCTGATATGATTTTGCTAAGCTCTCTGGATTTCCCCACAAGTGTGCCACATGGGGTGATGCGGGGCGCGATGCGACAGTACGAAAATGTCAAAGTAATTTCCTATTTCGACTAGGAAAGGGNATCATAGGAATTAAATCGGGATTGCGTCTAGGGCTCGTGGACCGGAGTTGCATAATAAAGTTGGAAGAAATTGCAAGGGTTATGCACATTTGTACTAATACTTCACAAAGTGTGTCGCATCACCGCAAATGTGTGTCAGAAATTTGAGAAGTTCAGAGAATTGTAGTTTTTGGGTCTGACAGTAAAATACACTAATGCTAGCATAGTATGTGGCATAGTGCGTAGCATCAGTACAAAATTTTGTAAGACAAGCTATGTTTAGAGAGTTTGCAATCGAGCAAATTTCACTAATGCTATGCACCCTGCGTGGCATAGTGTGACGCATGAAGTACAAAAAGTTTTTAGGTTTTCCCACTTCGGCTCAAAGAGGGTAGTTTCATTCAGGTTCATTCCTACTTGGTATAAATACACTAGAAATATGTTTATAGAGGACTTTCGACCTAAGGAAGCTAAGGAGGAGTTGGAAGAACACAAGCACAAGGATTTCATCATTCCTTCCTCACTCAAGACCCGAGTTTGTATTGAATCTATGTTTTCCTATACTTTAATTATATTTGTGATGAATTTCTCCATGTTTATGGAGTAGTTCCCTTTAGGGGATGACAGGTTTGGTGTATTGATGATTGTTTGTGGATTATAACTCGAGTTTTATGTATTGAATTATTTTGGAAGATTTAATTATTGCATCTATATTCACTAGTTCATGTAATCGAGAGAGGTATAACTTGAGATATCTTTGCATTATATTATTGGTTGAGTTCATAGATTCTTCTAAGTAATCGAAAGAGATTTTCCTGAAGACCAATCCACTACGCATTCTTGCATATCTTCACAGTGCTTAAGTTGGTTCATCTCGTGAGGTTAAGACTTAATTGAGAGAGGAGTTTCTGCTGAACGCTTGAACTAATAATAGAGTGAATTCGAGAGACTCACTTGAACATTGTAAGTGAATTATCTAAAGTTAGATCCCGAGTAATTATCTTTCATCTATCCTGCCAAAACTCTATCTTCTCCCACTGATAACCTTATTTGCTTATTCCTTGTCTCGATAGTCACTAGTCAATAATTTCAGATTCTTAGTTAATTTCAATTATTAATCATATAAATTTCAATTATTGATCCTCCTGGATAACAATCAAGCTAGAAACTACGAAAATATTTTTTAAATCCAATCCATGTGGATACGATATTATACTATACTATCTTTGATTAGCGAGCATAACTTAAGTGCGTATTTTGCGCTCGTCAGCTAATGCTAGGTTGGAGGTCTAGAGGCAGATCCTAGAGTCTAAAGGTTGAGGAGGACCAAAATAGAATACTTGTAGTGCAAGTTTAGTGACGTGACTCGGGAGGCTAATATTAAAGTGAGGTTGAACGCACAAGTCATACCCAAGATATAATGTTTTAAGTATCTTGGGTCTATAATCCAAGAAAATTGGGAGATTGACGAGAATGTCACACATCGTATTGGAGCGGGGGTGGATGAAGTAGAGGCTTACATCCAACGTTTTGTGCGACAAGGATGTTCCGCCAAGACTTAAAGATAAGTTTTATAGATGGGGCATGGTAGGCTGAAGAAATATTGGGTAGATGTGATCAGACGGAATATGACATATCTTCAGCTTACCGAGGACATAACCCTTGATGGGAGGGTATAAAGATCGAAGTTTAAGGTTGTAAGTTAGGTAGTAGTAGAGTATATTTCGTTCTCACACATGTACTTCCTTCTCTAGATGTAGCACTAGTCTTGTCCTTGTATTCCTTATTTTTAGATCAATATTTTTTTTACCTGAGGTTCTCTTTGCGTCGTTTTATTTTTCTGGTTGTTGTCACTATTTTGTTTGCTGTCGTTCTCTGTCATAATTGCTGTGATTTTGTTGTATTCAGCCGAGGGTCTTTCGAAAATAGCTCTCTACCTTCACAAGGTAGGAATACGGACCGCGTATATACTATCCTACTGAGGCCTCGCTTGTAAAAATATACTAGATATGTTGTTGTTGTTAAAATGGTGGCTAATATTTGATATGAGGTGTTAAAAGTGGCTATGTTTTTAATTTCTTTTCCCTTTGACACGATGGACTCCTATCTTTTATTGCTCGTTTTTTCCTTCTTCCTCTAAGCATTTTAGTGGGCGTTTGGACATAAGAATTGTAAAATTACAGAAAAAAGTATAGGGTTATTTTTAAATTTTTATGAGTGATCAAAATTTAGAAAGTTTTTCAAAATTTCTAAAAATTACAAAATGGATCGTCAAGTTAAAAGTAGAGATTTTATATCATTTAGGAAAAAGTAAAAAAAGCGAAAACATTCATGTTATTATTTTGGCGTTTTAGAAAGCAATAAAACGGCTGTATTTGACAGTTGTTTTTCGAACTCAACCGTCCTACCCTCTATAAAACTCAAAAAATCTCACAATCTTTCTCCAAAGGAGCAAATTTCTTCCGATAGAGAGAAATGGAACAAAGTGTCTGCGAAGATTTTGTATTTATCAGGTTACTTTTCTTTTCTTTTCTTCTGGATTTGTATTTTAATTGATTAGGGTTTTGATATATTGGAGTTTAGGGCTTTTGGTAAATTTGGGTTCTTTGAAAAATTATGTTCAAAAAGTTAAAAGAACGGATGACATAGATTCTTGTGGTACTTTAAAAATAAAATTCAAGCATTTTCACGGCGGAAGGGAAAAACCCTTGCTTCATTCATGTCTCAAGAATAAAGGAATTGCAAAAGTAGAGCTTCTTAAATTATTTATATAAGCTAAAATTTTCTGGCTAGCAACATTCTTTTTCTTCTTTTCCTTCCTATTTGTTTGCTTTGTCAATTAAATAGTAGAAAAAAGAAAATAGTTGTCCAATTACTTATTTAAAATAAAAGGAATCATTCTTCACCCATCTGCACAAGAATGAAGAGGTTCCACAAAAACTGTTTAAATTTTAAGGATAATTTCACAGATGTCGCCTGAAATTTTGGGATTTTTAAATATTCATGAACCTCTCTTCTTTGATTTTTATTGTAATAAAACTATTTTGTAACGTAAAATTGACAAGTTTTCCCCTTATGATATAAAGAAATGGAAAAAAGATAGGCCGATCTTGGTACAAAATTACAAGGTGCATTGGTGTTACTTTTCACTAGTAAAATTTGTTTTGTATTCTAGAATCAATGCGTAATGAGCAGGACGGAGCTAGGGTGGCGAAAGGGGGTTTACGCAGGGACGGAGCTAGGGTGGCGGAAATAAAGGAATGTCGATCTTCTAGTTCATTGTAGGAGCTAATAAGATGATTCCTATATGAACCATTTCATATCTCTGTCTTCTCTCCGTAATAGGATTCACAAGCTGAATTTCTTTGTTGTCATTTGAGATACTGACTTGTTCGATAACTTCTGAGAAACATAAAATGGATAGGTATTAATTAGTGAAGATAAGAAAAAGATTGGGAGATATTGCATTTCTCTTAATTCATCGAATTTATCTTTTTTCCATTTCTTCTAAAGCATAAGGGAAAACTTGTCAATATTAAGTTACATTATAGTTTTATTACACTGAAAATTAAGAAGGGTGGTTAATGTAACATTTAAAGTCACAGAAATATATGTTACAAAGCCGAAACCCTACAGGAAGTATCCCTAAATTTTAAAGATTTTCCGGAATTCTGCCTTAAATAAAGAAGAAAAATCGAGCAGTAAAGGATAGAGTTACCGTGCTATTTATTTTGCAAATTTTGTCACATGTTAAATAATTCTTGTGTTTTTAGTTTAACCATCTGTTTTTGCAGTGTTTTTTATCAGGAGTTTTCCGTTCTAAGGGCTCGAACCCGAGCTCTCCGGTTAGAACTGGATGGATCTTCCTTTCCACCGCACCCCTCAGTGGTAGGTTAAATACTTCTACCAAACTACTACAGCTAGGGACCAACAATTTTTTTTAAGCTTATAGTGAGGGGAAAAAAAACGGCTGTCTAAAGTACTTATTAAAATAAAAGGAATCATTCTTCTCCATCTGAGCAAGATTGAAGAGGCTCCACAACAATTTAAAATTGATGAAGGATTTTCCTTAAGAATAGTACTTAAAAAAGAAAAAGCAGTCAGTTTAGCTTCGTTTAATCATATTTGAGAGCATCATCAGCATTCTCATAAACATTCTTTTCTTTACCTTAAGAACTGTTCAATGGATCTACTGATTTCTGTTGTATCAGGCTTTGTAGTTGAGGTGGGAAAGTTTGTGGCTAAATGCATCTGTCCAAAGATTGAAAATACCGTCCATTTCTCATCAAATATGAAAAATCTGGGGGAGAAAATGGAGAAGCTAAGAAAGTTCAGAGATGATATCAAAGAGAAGGTGGAAGGGGCTGACGGAGAAGGCTATAAACAAAAACGAGATGTTCTCAAGTGGCTCAAAGATGTTCAAAAGCTAGAGGGTGAATGGGAATCTATGCAAGGAAGCATTGCAGCAGCTAAGACTCATGCATATAAATGTTGTCCAAAATGCAGCCTTCGCTCGGAAGTCTCTGCTCAAGCACGAAACATACTAGATCAACTTTGCGAGCTTAAAAAAATGGGAGAAAATTTTGGATCCAGTTTGTTGGTAGAAAATTACCAGGTGAAAAAAGTGGAGTTCATCCCAGGACCATCAATAGAAGGCCAGT